CAATCTGCATTTATAACTTTTTTAAAAGTGGGTGCACAAATGTTTTCTTCAAAAGTAAATTCAGCAGATTATAAATGAAAATAAAGAGACCACACATATAAAAGAGCAGAGTGAGAAATAATCCGCCAAACTGACACACACTAAAGCTCCCCATACACACTAGAATATTTTAAAATCTCACAGAACATAAAATTGAATTATACCTCTGGCCTCAGAGAAAATCAGATGAGAGAGAGAGGTCATTTAAGCTCTATCTGCCCACAATTTATCACGTTAGAATCTAATTAATTGAAGGAAATATTATCTGGCAATTAAATACCAAAAGGTCAAAGTAAATATCAAGTTTAAAAACTCCATAATTTGCCCTGGCCAGTTTGGCTCAGCGGTTAGAGCGTCAGCCTGCGGTCCGGAGAGACCCGGGTTCGGTTCCCGCTAAGGGCGCGTGCCTCGGTTGCACTTTGTCCCCGGCCGTGGTCGGTCGTGCGGGTGGCTGCCACTCGATGTGTTCCTTTCACGTCAATGTTTCTCTCTCTCTCCCTCCCACTCTACCTGAACAAAAAATGGAAAAATGTCCTCGGGTGAGGATAAAAACAACAACAAAACAAAACAAACAAACAAAAAAAACTCCATAATTTTCCAAAGAAAATTCAAAACCATCCAAAGCTAAGCTTTCCCTTTCTCCAATTACATTTCTTCTTATAGTTGATCACATCCCACCAAAGAATTCAATTTTTCCACATCTGATTCCCACAAGAATGAATTGAACAGTAAGTAGGCAAAGCCTAATCTTATAATGTATATAACTAATATAACTATGGAAGCCATATATGTGCCTAATGTCTTTTCCTAGATTTTCCTCTAAACTTAAAATTTTGAATTACTTCAGTTACAACTACCATTCTAAAATGCCCTTTATCTACCAAACAATATTTGAAAAGTGAACTTTCAGAAGACCAGAATAAAAGGACACATCACCCAAGCCACAGGTTCTAGGACACATGGCACACACCTCAGGCTGCAGGATTCAGCAGGGACACACTGCAACAGAAGACAATGTGTTTCCAGCCACCCCTCCCTCACTCCAACCCTGTTCCTAGCATTCCCAAGTGCAACCTCCACAGACCTGGAGGTGTGATAAGGGTTCTGACTGGCTCCCGGCCTCACCTATATTCACCAGAAGGTGGTCTGATTTATAAACTGTGCGACTATCTGACATTTAAAACCACCACCACCACCACCACCACGTTGACCACTTCGGAATGAGCCATTTTCCCCACATATCCCTCACCTTGGGCTCCCCGTCATTGGTCTTCCTTATATTTCTTTCCTTTCAAGATTTTTTTCACTTGTTTCATCCTTGATGTTCAGTGATCAGTTTTTTTTTTTCATCTTATCATGTGCATTTTTAATTAATTGTGCTTTTAATCAAATATTTCAAGTACACATAAAAGTACAGAGAATATCATTAACATAATGAACACCCATGTACCAGCTTAGCAAGAGCTTAACATTTTGCCGCGTTTGCTTCAGATCTTTTGGTGGAAGTCTGTTACAGCTGACATCCACTGTGTACCACTCTTCCATCTCCAACTCTGTTCTCTCCCTCCCTCCCAAGAGACAGCCACTCCCCTGGTGTTTAAAGTGCCCATGCATTTTAAAACACTTTTAATACATACTAATTATGGAGATGCACATCATGTTGCATGTTTTTAAACATTATTAAATGGTATCAGACCATAAAAATCATTCTGCAACTTGCATTTTCATTCAACATTGCATTCATTTTACCAACTGTATAGGATTCCATTGTATGAATATACCATATACCATAACTGATTTATCCATTCCCCTACTGATAGACATTTAGGTTGTTTTCCATTCTTTACTCTTACAAACAATGCTACAATGAAGCTTTACATATCTCTTCATGGGTACACATCTGAGAGTTTGGCGAGGGCTGCAGAGGATACATCTTCACCTTGCCAAACTGCTCTCCAATGTGATGGCCCCAATTTACACTTTCTCCAGTCGGTATACAAGTTCCCTTTGTTCCACATCCTCTCAAACACTTGGTATAATGAGTTTTCTACATTTTTGCCAATCTGACAGGTATGAAAAAGAGACTTATAGTTTTTAATCTGCCATGTCCTATAAGGATAATCGTGTTTATTGACTATTTGGACCATTTATTTAATTTTTTTTCCACCTTTCACATTGCCCTTTGATTCCATCACCACTTCTCTGTGGTGATCACTAGTGACTCTACATCCAGGTTGCCTGAGTTCAAACTCTGGCTTTATCATACCCACCTAGTGTCCAAGGACACTTTGCTTAGCCTCCCCAGACCCCTCACTTACAAAGACAGCAGCACCTACTTCCCACGGGGTATGAGGGTTTTGTGCTCAGAACAGTGCTTGGAGGGGTGCTTCACCCCCATCTGTCCCCAAAGCTGCTCAGCCAGATCCCCATGACAGATCTACCAACCCTCAGATGTGAGAGCTTCAGAACATCTCAACCTTGGTAACTCAGCGAAAGGACAGGTGGCCTCCTGTCAATGGCACTTCTGGCAACATGTTCTTTTCTGAAGTTACATCATCTACTCCCCTGATCAGGAGTTATATGTACTATGGACTCAGAAAACATTATGCCTATGTTACTGAGCCAGTCATATAAACAAGTGCAAGGTGGAAAAAACCAGTACGGCATTAGGACACTGACGTTAATAAAGAGGCATCCAATACATATTGGTGACTGCCTAAGAGGAAACTGCTGCTGACCTACTTCCAGTGAAGACCTTCATGGTGCTGAACCACAAGCTAGACTGTCAGGCAAGAGGCACAAGAATGTACGCACAACCCTGCTCTTGACCTTTACCTCACCAGGCTACCTGGTTTCTTTCTGTATTTGTACTTCGATGCACCTCCTTTGCAGTGGAGTTTTAGGAGGATCCTCCTTGAAAATCTAGCATTCGACACTCATGAAAGAGGCAGAAACACCCAGGTCTGCCTCTCAGCTCTCGGAGCTCCCCTATGCAGAGTGAATGGCCTTCTGCCCATTCAACGTTTCAGATCAGGTTTCCACAAGAGGCTAGCCAACTTGCTAACCTATTCATGTTGAAAGCATACAGATTCACCTTCAAACAGCATAGAATATCTGCAATTATGGACCTAGCCAAAAGCAATAACCTAAAGACATTTGCAGCTTAATCCTTTTCAGAACAGTTGAGGACAGTGGTATTGATGGAAGACTGTGTCAAGCCCATCCATTCCTCTAGTCTAGATAGCCTTGGCTTATCCACGGCTTAAGCCATCTAAAAGCTGCATAACGTAATACAGCGATATTCTCCAAGGTGGTTGGATTACTGGTGATTTTTATTTTCTTCTTTTTAAACTCTTGTATTTTCCAAATTTTCTACCATGAGAATGTTTTCTGTTTATGATAAAAGAAAAACATAATAAATGTTATTTTTAAAGCTACAAACTTGGAATATACTCCTTCCCCACTCCCACCACCCCACATCCCAAAATAAGCACTTTCACTGAAAAACAACTGACACTCACTCTCTGCTTTCATGAGAAAACATCACAGAAATTATGAAACCCCAGATAGCACATTTATTCGGGGAGTTTTTTCGATGAACAGAATATTGCTGAGGTTCTTCTCTACTCCAACACTCAACTTATATCGCTTGTAAGCCATCTAAGAAATTTCTTCCAGAACTGAACACCAGGAAAACAGTTTCACCTAAGCATCCGGTGTTCTCCTTCCTCATGGACAGAGAGAATTATATAACTTATCAAATTTTCTCATTTTATTTTGACCTTTCTGTTGAAAGGTTAGACACAAATATGGATTATAATTAATAACTATGCAGGACCTCATGCCTATGCCACTTTAGTATAAGGATCCCAGGCTCTAACCTGGTTTTTCAGTCTGTTTTGTTTTTAATATTCTTCCACTGAGTGGATGCATTCTTGAAGCCACTCTAAACCACTGCAGTAGGGCAGGACATAATTACATAGAACAGCCTACCCTGCTCAATATTAATGCTTATAATGAATGTTCTTTGGTGTGTTTTTTTTTAAAAGTCTGTTAATTTTATTTATTTATTTTTATCCTCACCCGGGGACATTTTTCCATTTTTTGTTCAGATAGAGTGGGAAGGAGAGAGAGAGAAACATCAACGTGAAAGGGACACATTGAGTGGTTCCCACCTGCGCGACCCAACCAGGGCCGGCGACAAACTGCAACCGAGGTACATGCCCTTAGCAGGAACCGAACCCGGGTCTCTCTGGACCGCAGGCTGACACTCTAACTGCTGAGCCAAACCGGCCAGGGCTGTTCTATGGTCTTTAAACTGAGGGACAACAAAATCATGGTATAGTGTCCACAATCTTTCTCAACTAATAAAATCTCAGTTCAACAATTAGGAACTAGGCATTCACTGATTTCATTCTCATCGTTAAACCATCAACTTTTCTTTCCTTTTCACTTATGAAGGGCATTTAGTTATTTCATACCAGGATGGAGGAAACAAACCCAACAAAAATTCTACTTCCAGAATTATACAGATTAATTAATAGAGCAAAAGGAGGTAATTTATCATAAGTGTTATAAACACAGACTTTGACATCATCAGATAAGATCTGTGTTCAAATCTTGGCGTCCTACTTACTAATGGTATGAGTCTGTCCAAATGTAAATGTGGGAAATAACATTACCTACCTATTAAGGGTGTTGTGAGAATTAAATAACATATGTAAAGTACCTAAAATAATGCAAGTACTTAAAATAATGCATAACCTGTTATCCACCCAGTCAGAATAGTTACTGCTATTATTGTTGTTACATACATAGTTTACAGAGCCCTCTTTTAACCAGCCAACTATTTCTGTCAAAGAACTATTGAAGAGTTTTCTTGCTTACCTGCAAAACAGAAATAGTTCTCAAACGTGGGTGCTTAGCATAGCAGTTCAGCGACTGGGGCTCTATCCACTTACCTGAACTGTCCAGTGCGAAGAAAACAAAGAGCTCGGTTACCATAAAGAAGGTGATTTTCAGGACTTTAAAAGAAATAAGACTTAGTCAGTGAAGCAAATTAAATATGAAACAAACAAAAATCATACTGAAAACATAAGGCATAAAAAATTTTTCAAAAACTTTACATCTGTGTGGCTGAGCAGAAAGAATACAGGATTTAAAGTCCTAACTGGCAAAGTCCCAGTTCCTTCACTTCCTACCTGAGTAACTACTCAAATCATCCTCAACTTCCCTGTATTTGAAATAAAGATTTCCACTTTTTCTGCTAGCTCATAGTCCTGTTGTGAGGATCAGATGAGACATATTAAAAAGCAGAACTGCAAGTATGCTGTAATTGTAGACAACAGAATTACATATGTAAGTCAGGACTGTACCACTGTTGACAAAGAACTCAAAGTCTGTAAATTGTAATGGTAATTTAATAGCTTCATTTCAAATTCTGCCCTCTCAGTCTTATCTGACTATGTGTGGTAGAACTTACTTCCCTCTTCCTCCATCTCCTCCTCAGAACTTAGCAGCAGCCTTTCAGGTATGCCATGCTACCCTGATTCCCCCTGTGGAGACTGGCAAGGTAGGAAAGAGAGCAGCTGTCTACAGTGCATCCTCCCGAGGTTGGTACAATATTAGGTGGACCAGCTAAGATGTCATAGGAGCCAAGGAAGGCACACTTGCAAAAAAGCTACTAAATTCTAGCAGCTGAGCAAATAGAAGACAAGGCAGAGAGAAATTGTGCATTCTCTCAACAATTCCAACTATTGTCCTTTAAAAGTTCCCTCTTAGGAAGCAAAAATCCCTGATGAGTGACATCTTAAGTATTAATAACTAATCCTTTCTGATCAGTTAATAATTTGGAAAAAATTAGTTGAAGGCAAAATGAAAATAAGAAATAACATGCGTCTGTATAGATAACTTGAAAAAAAAAAAAATAGAGGCAGGCAAACCAAATTCACAATTTTGCCTGACTTGCTTGAGTTACACTATTTGATTAAGTTCATATACTCAGACCATTTCTAATGCTTCTAATGCCTATGAGTGAGAAGCTCTATTCTTCATAGCAAGTTGGAGATATTCTTTAATTCCTCATCTTTTATTTCCCCCAACTAGCATTCTAACTTATCTGCCACATAAAAAGGACTTCATTGCTCTGTTTAGCTCTTACCTATATTCAATGGCTCTGCTGTAATAGATAATAGCTACATCAAATCTTTCATTGGAAAACTCTTCATTTCCTTTCATTTTCATTAGTTCTCCTTGCTGAGAAACCAAGGTGAAAGAAGAGCCATCAATTAACCGCAAAGATAATCAAGAACTCCCACACCTAGGAAAAATGGACCTGGGTTTCTGTCTTTGCTATCAGAAATAACCCGGGGAGAGGAGGGTTATTTATTTAGAAAATGAGAATGCAATACTCAGTATTTCAGTATGTATATTTATTTATTTTTTTTCAGTATGTATATTTAAAGAAACCTGTCTCTAATGATGTAATGCTAACTTTGTTAAAGAAACTTTAAAAAGTAAATAAAACCATCACATTATAGATAATTGCTAACAACCAATCCCTTTTATCACAGTACTTGGCTGGCCCAGATTTATGTATACTTAGTAAGCCTGCCATATGGCAGGGGAAAAACAGATGCAAGGTAGAACTTTAATTTTCGGTTAGAAAATATGGTATTGCTCAATAAACCTGGGTGCTTACAAAACAATATATAAATCAACAACACATACAGGCAATGTTGATTTGATTAATTGCCCAAAAGAAAGGCAACACAGTCAAGATGAAGGAAATCACAGATGCTCCAGATATAACCAAAACTTACTTCAAAGACTCAAATTTTCAAAATAAATTAAATAAAATAAACTGGATCATATCAATGGCTTTAATTAGATAATTAAATTGAATATTAAATATTTTCCTAAGCCATTTTTCAAAAATTTAGTTAAAATGGTCTTTCTTATGAGTGAATTGTATGGTATATGAATTACATCTTAATAATGTTGTTACCAAAGAAAATCGTATTTACTCAACTAATTAAAAGGCTGAATTTTAAAAAGTCAAATTTCAATATTTGATTAACACTTTTAAAATCTATAACATTAGAAAACTCTCATCAAGATGCTGTTTTTCTCTTCCAAAAAAAAATATTCCAATCAAAATTTATTAAAATTTCCCTGAAACACCCTGGCTGTTTTGGTTCAGCGTCGGCCCATGGTCCGGGTTTGGTTCCCACTAGGGGCACGTACCTCGGTTAAAGGTTTGTCCCCGGCCCTGGTTGGGGTTGTGTGGGTGGTGTCCAGTCAATGTGTCTCTCTCACATCCATGTTTCTCTCTTTCTCTCTTCCTTCCTCTTTCCCTCTCACTCTATGAATGCAAAAAGTGTCCTCAGGTGATGATTAAAAAATAATAAAATTTCCCTGAAACATGTTATTTATTTTTATAGGAGCTCCTTATATATTGTCAGATAACAGTTACACTGAACTTTCTCTGAGTGTTAATAAAAGCTCTAACAAGCAAATCTTAATATATACTTACAAGTAAATATTTATTCTCACCTCTATACACTCCACACAATTTTGCCTTTTAAATTCTTCAAGCATATTGCAGTTTTCTGTTACAACTTTAGTTATGTGATACTTGTCTATATTTTATTTTTAGGAGAGAGTGAGAAAAAAATTGTTTTAAAAAATGATATTTTAATGTTTTAATTCTGAGGTTAAGTGAGTCCATAAAGTTCATTACATTATTATACTTTCTAAATAACATGTTTCCTGTAATCTTTTACATGTATCAAATAATATATTTAAACAAGTAACATTAGATTCATTAATGCTATGAATCTAATCAGTTTTATTTCTAGCATTAAGAAAACACGTTTATTATTACATTAGTTCTAACTGTAGTAAAATTAACATATTCAAAATGGATTTCATAATTACTCAAGTCAATTCAACAAATATATCTGGGCACCTATGGTGGTGTACCTGGCACAACTGTCAATAAAAATGTCTGAAAAAATCTTGTAAAACCACTTTCTAAGAAGTATTTAATACAACAAATGAAAAATTTTAATGTCTTAATTCAACATTTGACTCTCATGAATGAAATGTTAAAATGAGACTTTAGTTGAAAGACTATTCTTATATAAATTTAATAAATTAATTAAAATGCTGTAGGTTTTAATCAAAATTTACCTTAAAATTTTACCAGACCTCATTTTCTGTATTTTAAACTGTTCTAGAATAAAGATTTTTCTAAAGTGGTAAATAATAATAATATTGCAACAAAAATGTAGTTACACCTCTAGACACACACATTCATTTCAGTGGCAAAAGAAGTAACCAAAATTTAAGAATCAAGAAAGGATTTGGGTAAGTCACCAAATGAAGTAAAGTAACACTAAGGGACAGAGTAAGATTACAGGATGAAAACCTGAGAGACCCGACTTCACCTCTAGGTTCCACTACTTACTAGACTGCAGAAATAGCACTTAACCTCACAAAGTCTTAGTTTGCTCATTTCTAAAATAGAGATAACAGTTACCTTGCAGGGATATAAAGAAGAGAGAAGAGCCAAAGAGTCAAAAGTAAGCCCACATGGGTGCCCAATACATGATAATGGCCTTCTACTTCTACCATAAAATCATAATTAAAGGTCTCCAGAACAGAGACCCACCTTAATGCAGCCCAGTGTCTACTAAACCTATCAGAACCTGTCTTTAAGCTTAATTTTCTCTAACATTTAGATCAATAGTACAAAATTTGCCCTCTTCTCACTGGAGATGGCAAATTCTTATCATCCTCTATTGAAAAGCCAAATATTCCGTTTCGGGATTCCTATAACTGTACTACAAAAACATTGCTAGCATTCAAGTGCTTTAGAGAAAAGTATTCCACAAAGCAAAAAAATGTATGTAAGGCAGTTTCATCATACATAAGAATATCAGATTCATCAGGCAAATGAAAATTATAATCTTAGCTCTTATTACTTATTTCTCTTATCAGAGACAATACATAAGCCCCAGTTGTGGTCTCTTTCTTTGGATATTATATATAATAACTTATGACATTTGGCAATGTTTTAAAAAATATGATGTCATAGAAATCATTAAGACAGAATAAAATTAAGTACACAATTATAGTTCTCTTATGCAGGCTTTTCTCTTACTCAGAAAAAAAGTTTTTTTAAATCCTAAGATAAATCACAACTACACGTTCCATTTTCCCAAATAATACCTTTAAAAACTGAGGCAAGTGACAATTTAAAACATTTATACTTACATTCAGTAAAGAAAATACTTAACATAGGCCAACAATTGTCAACTGCTCCTAATTTAGGTAGAATTGTTACATCGCCTGTGTATTTCACCCAATTCAAAGCTTCTTCCATTGCCAATATTTTCTGTTTCATAAAGAGGGATGTAGAATGTGATTTTGGTATTAATTCTAAATTCTCATGTAGTATTATAAATGTAGCTTATGTAGTATTTCAGTTTCTTAATATAAAATTTGAAACCTTGCCCTGGCCTGTGTGGTTCAATGGTTAGAGCATCACCCGAACACTGAAGGGTCTTAGGTTTCATTCCCGGTCAAGGGCACATATCTGGGTTGCAGGTTCAATCCCCCCACCCCACCCCACCCTTCGCCAAAGCACATTTGGGAGGCAACAACCAATCAATGAGCCTCTCTCACATCAATATGTCTCTCTCTTCCTCCCCCCTCACCCCGTTTCCTTCCACTCTCCAACAAAATCAATGGAAAAAATATTCTCAGGTAAAGAGTAACAAAAAAAAACAAAAACAAAAAAATCTCTAACCTCATATTTTCATTACTCTAGTACAGAACCTAGAATAGATGGACCCCCAACATACAAGTTAACAGATACCACAGACTCATGTATGTTACATCTTCAGGCAACCCTGGGCTACCCTCAGAGCTCACAATGCTTCTGCAATGATTACAGACCTCATAGCTGAGGTCTCTAAGCCGCTAAAGGCAGCTTGGGTAGCAAAAGAGTGCAATAATACAAGATGGACGTGGGGTCTCAGGTCTCATCTAAACTAAGACTTCCATCCTTACCTCAAGGTTAAAGGTATAGATTAAGGTTCACCAAAGGGATTATGTATTTTAAATGATCTGTGACAAATAGAAGAATAGGAGCAAAACAAGAGGAGGGTGTGTGTGGCTGGGCAAATGACCACTCAGTGTGATCTTCACAGAATCATTATTCATACTTCTAGTGTCTGAAGACTTCAGAAAAAAAGTTTTTAATATGTTTTTATTGATTTTTTTAGAAAGAGAGAAGGGAGAGACAGAAACATCGACGTGAGAGAAAAACATCAATCAGCTGCCTCCTGCACACCCCCTACTGGGGATTAAGCCTGAAACCTGGACATGTAACCTGACCAGCAATTGAACTGGGACCTCTCAGTCCATGGGACAACACTCAATCCACTGAGCCACACCAGCCAGGCATGACTTTAGAAATTAAACAGTGGAGTTATCTACGCTGATGTGAGGCTTAAGGGAAATATGTAGAAGTTTATGATACCAACAGCATTAAAAATTGGTTTATCATTGTATGTGAAGATTATCTAGTAATTATACAGCAAAACATGTTCATATCAGGGACCTAATAATTCATTTGGGAGAACATATGACAGGTAAATAATCTAAAAGAGAAAAAAAAGTCAATTTGCAAAAGAGGCTCAAAATTATACTAGGTGTAAGTAACTAAAACTGCCGAAGAAGCACTTGATCGCACATCTGCATTCCTATATACCCAACCCCCCTGCCCAAACCCATCAAGACCCCAAAACCCACTGATGACAAAAGCTTCCCACCAGTGGACGCATATAAGGATGAGACTCCAGCTCCTAGGTGCTGCCATCATCGACCCCATACCCCATGGCTTGGTGATGTGTATCCCTTCCCTTTGAATATCTCCATTCCCTCATCCCCTTTTCTTTAAATAAACCGGATTTTTATTTTTTAAAAATTATACTAGATATATGAGGAGAAAATGAAAATGATGCAAACCCCTAAAATAAAGAGAGTGCTTAAGCAAAATATAGATCAGTACTACCAAACACTACACATAGAACACTGACTATGTGGATCCAGATGTGGGTAACTGCCATTTACTCACAGTGATTCCAGTGATTAACACTTACGTTTTCTATTTTATAACCAATTCTCAGTAAGCCTCCAATAAAGAATGAGTCATTCTGGAAATAAAAAAAAGTACAAAACACATTTTTTTCCCCTTATTCAGTCAATTATACTTGAATTTTCCAGTACACAACAAAATCCTACATTTTAGAAATACATATATACATAGTAGTCCACTTCCTATAAGCACTTTCATGCTCAGTTTACCTCTTAAGGAACCTAAAATAAAATTCAGAAATAGTCTTACATTGGGTTCTAATGATAAAATGATTTAGTGTCACTTCTAGATGTATGCATTTTAAAGTTAATTATACCTAGATTTTTTTTATAAAAATGAATTGGCTGATATAAATTAATGCAAAGGATTATCAGCAGAAAATAAACATCAAATGCCCTTTCTAAATTTAACTTTGCAATCAGAATAATACCAAGAAAAACACTTGGTTCCATAATCAACTGAAATAAGAAAAATTATCAAATGGCTCTCAATGAAAAATACCCTCAGTGCAGTATAAGGACATCTCCTCAAATATGATGACATAAGATTACCCAAGGAAAAAATATTTATTGTGGTGGTAGTGACAAGTGGCATAATTTTATATTATAAGACAGAACCTCTCACTTTCAGAACCTGGGACAGCCTTGGCCGGTTTGGCTCAGCAGTTAGAGCGTCGGCCTGCAGACCAGAGAGAGACCCGGGTTCGGTTCCTGCTAAGGGCACATATCTCGGTTGCGGTTTGTCCCTGGCCCCTGATGGGGTTGTGTGGGTGGCAACCAGTTGATGTGTCTCTCTCACATCGATGTTTCTCTCTCTCTCTCTCTCTCCCCCTTCCTCTCTCCCTCCTGCTCTATCTGAAATGCAAAAATGTCCTTGGGTGAGGGTGAAAAAAAAAGAACCTGGGACAAAGGTTTCTTTGAACCAAGAGCATACTTTCATTTGTGACAAATTTCAATTTCTATCCTTCAATGACAGTGAGCAGGTCCTGGTTCTCAACATATCATGTCAGAACTGAAAACAGCCATCTACCTGATCTCTCAAATACATAGCACAAACTCATGGATAGCAGAATAATCTCAGGTCAACCAAAACTAAAGCCTGTTGACCATTATAAATTAGTAACATGGGCCTGACACCATATACTTATAATCCTTAAATGAAGAAGGAAAAGTCATATTCTACCACTTACCACAACTTTCTTTGCCAAATCCACAATATCTTCCATCAACTCAAGATATTGCAATTTCTTCAAACTTATCTCAGAAGCATGAGAATTGCTTAAAGACAAATTTATTTCATATAAGATTAGGCTCTCATATATAAAAAGTCATTCAACTTTACACTTAACTGCATATTACTCCTCTAGGTTCTGTTTCTTCAACTCTAAGTAACAAGTTGTTTAAGTGGATAAAATACCTTTTCCTTTCTTGTATACAATGCTGATATTTATAAAGAAACATATCAATTTTTCCTTACTCAGCTTCAAATTTACCATCTAATGCTCTTCATAATTTTACTCATTATACATAGTGTTACCATGATTATTCATTCATAACCAAACCCCAAGTATTAACTTTTTCTACTCTGTTAAACAAGAGTAAAATAGTATACAAGAATGCGACACATATGGCCTTCCACTGTACTTGGCGTTCCTCAGTACTGGGCAGCGTGCTTACCACTGTTCATACAAAATGAATAATGTAGTAACTTACGTGGCTTCCACACAGGGATACAACCGTGATATTATAGAACTGTGTTGATGTTGAAACAGAAGTGGCCAGAAGATGTGTATTTTAATGGCATCACAATAATCTTGCAGGACAGAAACTGGTTTACTACACCACATATTGCAGATGTCGAATTCTTAATTACAAAAAAATTTAATTAATATTTTGTGCCTTGTTTTGGAATCAATCAACAGTGTCAACAGGGAAAGAACAAAAGTGGTTATGGAAAAGTAAGAAATGCCCTAACCAGTTTGGCTCAGCAGTTAGAGAGTCAGCTTGCAGACCAAAGGGTCACGGGTTCAATTCCCAGTCAAGGGCATGTGCCTGGGTTGCGGGTTTGATCCCTGGCCCCAGTTGGGGTCATGTGGGAGGCAACCAATCAATGTGTCTCTCTCACATCAATGTTTCTCTCTCCCTCCCTCTCCCTTTCTTCCACCCACTCTATCTGAATACCAATGGAAAAAATATCTTTGGCTGAGGATTAACAAAAGGAAGTAAGGAAAGAAGAAAGGGAAGGAGGGAGGAAGGGATGGAGAAAGGAATGAATGAACTGATAGAATATTTCAAACTGCTAGATATTAAGAATATTTAAGTATGAGCTAAAACTCTATTTTAAAAAACAAAGGTTTTGGTTTCTAGTGAAAAAGAATAGTAAGAATAAATTTTTAAGTTATGTAAGTTTGTTACATTGTTGTGAAAGGATGAAATTAATTTGATAGTCCTTCAAAAAATTAAAGTTAAAATACCAGTGCACTCACCTAAGTTTCTCTCACTTTCGGCATAATCTTTATACTGCCTACCCTACAAAAAAACAAAAAAAACCAAAAAAAACCACTTTTGATTTGTGTCTGATAAGATGCAAAAGTATAGTTCTTGATTTTCAATGTAAGCATTATTAGTACTAAAGTGAAAAATTTCAGTACACGTTTATTTATATACCTTGAATACAACATCTTCAACCAACAAGTCTCCAGGCCTTTCCCCAAGTTCCCCTGAGAGCCCTTCTAGCCTCAGGCAGAAACAGCCTCCATCACTCATTCTCTGGCACTGCCTTCCTGTTGCTGAGGCCCTGCTTTACTTTCCCTTCTGAAATCACCTCTTGTAAAGAATGTACACCTCCCTGTAAAAACTCACGTACCACAGCTCTGGCCGGTTTGGCTCAGCAGTTAGAGCATCGGCCTGAAGACCAATGAGTCTCGAGGTCAATTCTGGTCAAGGGCACGTACCTCAGTTGTAGTTTGTCCCCAGCCCTGGTTGGGGTTTTGCAGGAGACAACCAGTGGATGTGTCCCTCTCACGTCAATGTTTCTCTCTCCCTCCCTCCCTCCTTCCCACTCTATCTGAAAAATAGAAAAGTATCCTCAGGTGAGGATTAAAAAAAAAAAAAACTCACGTAGCACAAAAACACCTATACTCAGGTAGCTCTAAATCAAAAATCTTTAAGAGGTAAATCTCAAAAATTCTCATCACAAGAAAAAAATAACTGTAACTATGTGTGGTGATTTCCCATACATACACACATTGAATCATGTTGTATACCTGAAACCACATACTGTTATATGCCAATTATATCTCAATTTTTAAAAACATTTAAGATGACACAATGTTAAAAATAAAAAGTTAACTAGTCTACTTACCACGCCATCACAGTAAAGCTGAGTCACACGAACATAATCATTGGGCATAAATTCAGGAGCAAAGGCACAATCGTCCACATAAGGGCAGTCTTCTAACCAGGCATAATCTGCTACAGTGCAATCTCCTAGTGCAAAATCGTCCATGGTGCACCATCCTAAGGAAACAACACAGACTCAAATCAGTGATTAAATCACTTGAGATATAAGAAGCAGTTTTCCTGGCTTCTATGGCAAAACACATGGAACTTATGCCCCAAGGAAAAACCCTAATAAGAACACTGAGCTCTCTGAAAGATTCTTGTTCTCATTCTGCAATTCTTTCCCCTGATTCCCTCTCTTCAAATATCAGTTTAATCTATTTCTTCTTTTCCTCGAATTCAAAGAGAGTCGCCATCTCTACTCTGAATTTATGTTTACACATGTCCTTTAGATGGAGGATAATTAAGGGCACCTTAATCATCTTTGTATGTGCCTAGCACATGGTAAACAGCTTTCCACTGCTGTCCTTTTACACCATCTGCTTTTACTGCATCCTGTGAAACACGTTTTCACAACACCCAAACCAGTACATTTTCAACCACCTGGCTGGAACTAACTCCACTGAGAAAACAGTTTCCTATCAGCTGCCAATATTCTCCAATCTACCCTTCCACGTGTTCAAACTCTTCCATGTGTTCAAAGTCTCCAGCAAAGGAGCACAGCTGGAGTGGTACAGGGCGAGTCTGTCAATCTCTTAATTCCCCACAGCTGCATCTAGATATTCCCCCTCCTTCCTCACAACTGCTGCTCTAACACTCTAATATCTACAACAAACAGCACTGCTAGATTGCAAAGATGGGCAAAAACCCTCATGTTATTAACAACCAAGTTTTAAAAATAATTATTTCAATGGAGAAAAGGAAACTTAGGGCTAGAGTTTCAAATTAAGGGTTTTTTTTTCCCTGAAGAAAGTTCAATAAAATTTGTAACTTTCAAAGAAAAGCTATACAACCTAAACATCACTGAAAAATGTAGCATTTTATTACTTCTAACTCTTGCCCAAGTAATGGTTTTCTTTTCCTATAATCACCTTTTTGCTTTACCACTATTATCTCACTGCTGTTAGAACAAACCAACTTTGTTTTCCTGAGCAAGACCACTATCAGTTCTTGAAGCACAAATGTTTCTTTAATTAACCTTCTTATTATGTCCAATTTGCTGTATGAAAACCTCACAATATCGGAAGTGAAGAATAACAATCTTCCCAGCAAATTCTCTATACTATCTGTCACGTGTTGTTCTAAGCATGTCACCTGCATTCCCTCAATCCTCACAGCAAGTCTTCTTAGGTTCAATTACCATCACCTCCGCTGTATGGCTGGGAAACATTCTGGGTAAAATTAAGTCATTTACGCATTTACCAAGCTAGGAAGGATTCAAAACCTAGGTCCTCTGATCCCACAGTCTCTCCTCTCAAACACTATATTTTTACTATATCTATTTTTCCTTATCATTGCCAGCTAGTTACCGCTTGGTTGTTGTCCTGTGTAAGAACACTGACAACTAGTTAGTTCAGAGTGTTCCCCTGTCCTGCAAATGCTATCATCCCAGGCACATCAAGGCCCACATAGACCAACCCTTCAAGACCCTAGCGTTGCAGTTTAACTACCTCTGCGACTAAAATGAACTTCACAAAGCCATACCTCCGATCATTGCCCCAGTCTAACTGGTTTTTAAATCTAACTGTTAGCTCCTCTGACCACAACACCAAGAGTTATTATAGCTCAAGTCTCTCCTGCCTCATCAAGAGCTCTTCTTCCCTTTCTCTCACTCAAATCCTCCATTCTCATTTACTTTGTTTTCTACAGTTGGGTTGGTTTCCACTTTAAATAAGGTCTTTAGTGACCTTCTACAACAGAGTGATTATATATGTCTGGATCCTCACCTGTTCTAAATCAACAATATTCCCAGAGTTTAGAATTTAACTCCAAAAGTGAACAATGACTGAAAAAAATAAAAAGACGTTTTAGCACCCAAAGTATGGTATATAATATGGGACCTATGCCATCCTGGGAAATAGACACTTTTAACTCGTTTGTCTTACAAACGTTTTTTGTGTGCACATACAGAAAGAGCCAAGAACTGTCTGACACAGCCCACACATCACTGTGATGGCATCAATTACAATACAATTAATGGGCTCACATCCGACAGACTGAGCCACTGTGACATAACAACCTGGCAGATCTCACCCATACCACACCCTACACCGACTATACTGTAACTACAACATTGGTGTAATCCTTATTTTCTATTTTATTTTAACCAGAGACAATGTGACATAGTGGTTAAGAGCAGGGACTCTGGAACCAGACTGCATGGGCCTGAATCCTGGCTCTCGTCCCATTTCCTGAGTGTGTGATCTTGGGCAAGTTACTTAACCTCTCTGTGCTTCAGTTTCCTCACATATCAAATGAAGATAGCAGTACTACCTACCTGATTAATCAGTTAACACATTTAAAGTGCTTAGAATAGTACATGGCATATAGTAACTGCTATAAATATCAACTATCATTAACGTTAATATTAGATGAGTATTTTTTAAAATCCATTTTTGGATGCTTCCAACTAAATGGTCTACCTTAATTGCTAAGTCCAAAGAGCACTTTTCAGCTTACAACTTACTTGACACTGTTGACCACTTCCTCCTTTTCAGAACTCTTCATCTGGGCTCCAGAGACCATCTTCTGGTTCTCCTATTCTTCTGGCTGCGCTTCCTCAGTCTCCATGGGCTCTTCTTCTCCATTCCCCGCCACCCAAATGTCAACTCTCTTTTCTTTCACACTTACTTTCTCCTTGGGTGATCTTATCCAGCACACCCATGGCTTAAAACAGCACTTTCTGAACTTCCATTATTTGCATAGCTTCACAATGATTTTTGCCATTTCCACGTATCACATGTATTTTTATTTACTTGATATTTCTTTTATTGATCTCACTTGGCCTAAGTGATTATATCCATGATATAATAGGTTTGATGTACAGCATATGCTTTTCATACACATTAAATTCCTAACTATTCAAAAAATTGCGTTTATCTATATGCCCCTTCAGGTTACCTCGTACTACACTAGACCACATGATGGCTGAAATGTCCCAGTGCTCCAGACTCTCAAAGCTCTCCAGACTGGGCTGTATCTCAAGATTCTAGACCCTGTCAACTGCTAATAGATTTAACCAGGATGTCCCACAAGCGTCTCAAATTAAATAAGTTAAAAAACAAACTTATCTTTCTCCTCAAAGACAAAGGAAACCAAGTTCTTTCCTCTTTCTATATATCATGTTAACTGCTCTACATGCCAACTGCTTACCCAAACCAGAAACCCAGGGGGCAATCTAGACTCCCCAGTTTCTATCCAACTGCCCATGAAGTCTTGTCATTTCTAATCCCCTAAGAAATCTAAACTTAGCACACATATACCTCTTCATGCCCAGGGCCACTGCCTTAGTTGTAGCTTCGTCTGTTTCCTCTGAACTGATTTAACAGTCTCCAAAGTGGTGACTTGCCGTCGATCTTGGCACACTCTAAAACTCTTATCGTAACATTTATGTACTGCTTAAAATCATTCAACAGCTTCTCTTCATCTTCAGAATAAAGTCTACACTCTCTACTGTAGTACAGAAGGCCTTCTTCTGTGATCCTGTTCCTGCTTTTGTCTCCAGTCACTCCATGATACTCAACTTACAAGTCAATCATTCTTAACAACTGCTTGCATTCCTAAACTAACCTTATCATGCATGCATAGAATGCCTACGAGTCCTTAATACTAGATTCCAAAAAGCATTTCCTGATCTTTTTTCTACAAGTTTATTTCTGCACCTCTTCTCTGGAAGCCCAGACACCCTGTCCATATCTTTTGACAGCAGTTTTCACATGGTTTGGTTATCACAGGTTCATCTCACTATGGGTCCAGAGGTACATTGTGCCTTACCCATCTTTTATACATATATATACATGTATGTATGTATATACACATATATACATAATATGTTTTTATTGATTTTAGAGAGAAATGGACAGGGAGAGACAGAGAGATAGAAACATCAATGAGAGAGAAACATCAACATGGATTGACTGCCTCCTGCATGCCCCCTGCTGGGGATGGAGCCTACACCTTGGGCATGTGCCCTGATCAGGAATCAAACCGGTACCTATTTGGTCCATGGGTCGATGCTCAACCACTGAACCACACTGGCTGGGCTATGCCTTACCCATCTTGATTCCCTAGGTCAGTGTTTCCCAAATTTTTTATTCGCATTCCCTGAAGTAGAAAACTTTATCAAATCACCTGCCACCTGTACTGTTATTTAATAATTTTTCTTTAAAATAACTTAACTTTTAATATATAAACATGTTTTAATAGAAAGTTTGATATCACCAAGAAATCTTACATTTGGTAGGACAAAATTTTTTTTTCTAGTACAAACTAAAATATACTAACAAATTTAATATTAAAGTAAATAACTTCTTGACTCTATCACTGCAAAAAAAACAAAAACAAAAAACTGGGTCCTAGATTTAAAACTTTTTTAATTTTGCTGAGTTCACAGAAATAGGGAACATTCAAAGCCACCTTTTTCCCTGCAAAAGCAACAAACCTTTTGCTAGAACTAAACCTAGTAGTCAAGAGCTATACATAGTAATGCCAAGAGTAGTAGCTGGATCAGGAAAAAAAGTGAGGGAAATAAACAGTGGTCCCACAAAAACTCCTTCACTCCAGCCAAAGCTGATAAAAGTCCCTGACCTCAGTCAAAGCTGATCCAAATCCTATCAGAAGAAAGGAAGGCATCTCCCAATCATACTCAAGATTCCCAGAGAAAAATCAGACAGGAGTTCACAAAGATCACCAAGCACAGGTGACAATCCACCATGAGGGAGGCACAACAGAAAAAACAAGCAATAAATTTAGACCCCTATGTTCATCAGACAATGGGACTGCCAGATACAGTCTATAGAATACCCAGAGATTAGAAAAAAAACTAAACAAGCAACATTAGACTATAAAAAGTGACTGGGTATATCTTAGAAAAGAACTAATTGAAACCTTAAGAAATTTAAAATATAATTGTTAAAAATAAAAGAAAAAATTAGATGTGTTAAAGAGATTAGGCATAG